ATGTTTTCTTTGAATTCAATATTCTGTCGTCCAACATTCACCTTATGCATGAAATTTCATTCAACTTGATTTCCTGATTTCAGATAGCAGTCATTGATTGAGACGGTTCTGTAGCTTGTTCATCATCACCAATTTTATCATCACTACATATTCGTCTGGCCCTTGAGGATGGAGAATAGATCGAATTACTTACCCTATCTGCAACAACCGAATCCGCAAAGTCAACTTTAGTCCGTTTCTTACTTTTCCATTGAGACCCTCTTCGATGAATTTCATTATCTTTTGATAATTTTGTAAAACTACTCTGTTTGACCACAGACCACTATAGCATCATCTATAAATGCATTTCTACAGCTTCTACCGGAAGGTATACGAGGAAAAATATGTGAACGGAATTGATGGTTATTATTAGGAAAACACTTGTCAGGTTTTGGCAAGACATTAGAAGTCTATTCATTGTCATTTTACTGATGACTTCAAGAGGTTCAGCACACACCTTGTCAACTGCTCTCTGTATTTCTCACAATACAGCAAACGCTTTCTTTTTTATGTTTGTCAAAGGATTATGAAGAAGATTGAAGAAAAAGAGGTTATATACAAAACCTGGCAAAATGTAAGATCTGATGTCGCATAACCTTAAAAGCATGTAGCCTCTTTATGTTGTGAAACATACTTCATACTTACAACACATTTACTAATAACAATATGCGAAATAGACATGACGGTATAGGGAGACACTCCACTGAATACTTCATGATCTGAATCATACTCTTCTCAAGCAGATTAACTGATCTACACTATCACATGCACAGATAACTTTTCCTTTACTAATAAGATATTGGTCAATGGCATTGAATTGACAATGCACCACTGAAAACAACTTTGATGTTGATGAATTCACGAAATTACCCAAGCAGTCTTTTTTATTCGACAACAAACAGTGATTGTCAAGGTAACAACATTTTTGATTAGTGTTCATATCTATCTAAAGTAAAACAAAACACCTCTACTGTGTCAGGAGGGAAACTATTTTTAAATATCACTCAAAAACAAACATTCCTGACTTATTTCATCAAAATTATTATTCAGTTATGAATGTGTAGAATTTTATTCATTTGCCAGTATTCAATGTTTAGTGTAAGTTAAGTATACACTTGACATTATTTTATCAATGTGATTTTCTTTTATATTTGAACACAGATGATATAAAATACAAGCTCAACTGATGTGAGGGAATAGATCATTGAAACACACAGATGAAAATCAGTCTTCTATTTGAGTATTGACAAACATTTCAGTTTTCAGATACAATGATCAATGTTATAGTTTCTAATGTGTCTGGTATAAGAAATCGTTCTCTCCATTTTCAACAGTTCACTTTCGGCGGAATTCATTATATTCATCTGATTACAATGATTTGAGAACTCAATCTATGAAATTGAGCACAATTGACTCTATTTCAATGTACTCAATGGGAAAATCATTACCTATATTGATCTGTACATCTATTGACAGTCAGTGTTATAATGTGGTATACAAATAGAATGGATGTGACATTGTTCAGGAGTTACAATTTTATTAAAAACGACAGTGAAATCGTTTTACAAAATGTGCTTATTGTAGCAAAATCCATGTGTAAAAGAGTATTTGTTACCATCCAATCAAAACAATTTGTGTTACTTTGATTTTAACCAATCAAATCAAAACAACTCATCGTTGACGAATAATCAATACATTATCACAGACAACAAACTGCTTGTTCGTAAACATATGAGCACACATTTTGGACTATAATTTAACCAATCACTCATTTCAGAATATCGTCTATCTCATCGATGAGATGTTTCATCCACAGGGGTCAGGAATGTCAACCAACAGTGAATAAATTTCAGCTCATGATCTCAACAGCCACAAGAATATTGGTTAACGATGATGCTATATACCTCCATAATTGGTTTATAATAAACATCTGATCTTTCTAATGATCACTTAGAATAATCGAATCAGAAGAGAACAACCTTACATTTCAAAAGTCTATATAAACCTGACAAATTCTATAAAAAATTGATTTATAATTTGACACGATAAGATGAGGTAAGTGTTGAATGAACATACGAACTCAAATTGAAATTCGACTCCATGATTTACCGTTGATTTGTTCATCCTGATCATTTTAGATATAACTTTTCACCTAGTCAATTGTTAATAATTTATGTGATATTTGTTTGGTCCCACAAACGTTTCAACTGCAACGACATCTGCAAAAACTCTGATTTGGAACACTATGAGATTATCATTATTGAGAATGATACTTATCGATACGTATGTAATCTGATATATTCTAATACACATATTCCAGTCTCTTCATTATAATTATTCAATGAGGATTCAACGTCATCAATCTCAACCAGTTCCGAGTGAACGTTTTAATAATAAGATAAATGACTCATACGTGAGTTGAATACACTTTATAATAAAGATATTTTTCCATATGTTTGCAACATTTTAGGGGGTTTATCCTCGATTCTCATTTACTTATTACGGTAGTAACGTTCGACAAATTGATTTGTACAAAGTTGGTAAGTCATAAATTTTCTCGGAAGTCAAATTATTAATGCGTTTTGTTGATCCAATTTATGTTAATGAATCAAAATTGATTCCATTTTCTTCAGTGAATCAGTTTTGTGCTCCTTGTAACATGCAAAACTTCTCTCAATATTTTTTATTGTTCCATATGTTAATGGTTTGATTCTTCATAGCGAACTAAATACAGTTCAGTTTTATTATTTAAAATTGTTTATTCATTCATTACAAATTTATCAATGATGTGGCTTGTTTTCATCCAGTAAATGGAAATGACATTGTTGTATTTGGAAGCATCCACCTCGGAGATATTGAAAATAACATACAAAACTATACGAAACTTGAATCTGAGGTTTTAAATGAAGGTGAGTTCTTGTACTTTACAGTGATTCTTTGGTTTGTTCTCTTTTTTGTGAAGTTTATTTTTAAAGATAATGCTTCAGTACTTTGGTTGATTATTACACGAGAGTTATCAAATATACAGAGTTGTGTTGTAGGACGTTTTGAATACTGTGAAGGGAAACCGTTAAAGTAAAGACATAAATCTACCTGAAAATATACACATTGATTGAATGGAATCGATAAACCAAGTGATATAACTGCCAGGGTAAAAATTATCAACCCTCCAGTTTATGAAAACAACAAAACAGAAGATAACTCATCGAAACGATACTTAGTGGTAGACTAAATGAATCAAACTGATCACTTGTGCAATAATAAGCTATGTTGTGAGAGGAGTCGGTTTGTATTATGATTGAAGCCCATGAACTATCAAGTTATATTTGATGTCTTTCAAAACTTTTATAGCACTTACTTGATTCGTTAATGTTTAACGTCTTTGAGTTGCTGTTTGTAAAACATCGAATATTCAACACTATTTTTTTGATCGTGTTTGTATAATTATACATTTCGAATCTATGCACTTCGTGAAACAGCTGACCAATGACCGTCCGTGAACAGTTCGCTAGTACAAGATGATTTACTCATACCAGAACACTTAAAACATCAATGTCACATTCATTTATTTCAGTCAAACGTAAGAATTGATGAATAAAGGGATCCAAAAAACACTTTGTTGTTGTATTGTACATTATTCAGTCAGAAGCTCCTATAAGAAATTTTAAAAAAGTAAAATATTCTTCTCAGTTGATTGTGTTGAAACGTTCATCATATTGTTGAATTGATAATATTTCTTGGACCTTTCTCATGAGAGATGATTTAGCATTTAACTACTTCGGTTCATTCAAACCTGTAAATGGAGAAGACAACTTGTATAAGTCGGCAGTCCGTGTTAAAAAGTATATTGATTGAGAAAGATAGATAGTCAATATTCAAGTATTTAAACATCCCTTTTGATTTTTATTATTTCAGAGAAATTATTAGGAGTCAAAAGAAATTTTTCAATAAAGGTTAATGGTTCAGGTGAGTAAACATTGATCAATCGTTCGATCAAAAACTTTTACACTTACATCTTTACTACCTGTGATTACTCATAATTTGCCTGTTCACATTAAACAAATCCGACCTTTCAAAATACTAACAAAAGAATGAAGGTGCTTCTATTCTGGCAAACGATGGTAGAATTGAATGTGAAATTAACTCACTAATTGAGTACATCCATTGAAACATTGGGAACAGTTAAAATGAACTGTGAATGACTGGATTTGACAGGCAATAAATAAGTCATCATGGATATTTGAAGTCACAATCTCATTCTGCTTGTTGGAAAATGAATGCAGAGATTTATTATCATTTCAGGTTTAAGTGGAACTTGATAAACAGTCTGTGTTCCAAAATAAATGAATTGTGTTATACATTGGTGACAAAGCTATTGCTGCACACAACATATTAATCTACACATCTAATCATCGCAAAGTCATTCCTAAATATTAACGATTCAAACGAAGAAATCGTTATCTACATATATCTAAAGCTATTCGTTTCTCATCTACAACCAATAGACACTGTAGTCATAATCAGTTAACCGATAGAAATATCTAAATGTTGAAAACCGATTTAATTTTCGAGTTTAATGTGTAGACAAATACTCCTAAGATCATGTCATGCGTACTTGGAGTCTATTGTTTCAAATGGAATTATTTAGGATATTGTGCAAATGTTAATACATCTTCGACTATGAGATCCCTGTCGGTAAAGTAGACGATGTATTATTTTGATAATAAATCAATAGTTAAACAACTTTAGAATCTAGGCATATGACATTTGTTAGAAATGTTTTATGGCTGTCTCACTTCAATGTATTTATTTTCATTTCATGTGAAGAAAGCATTTGAGATAACACAGTAAATATCCGGTAAAATCTATCCACAGTGTTACATCTAACAATAACATACTCATCGTTTAAATCCTCAATCCTGAGTATCAATAATCTTCTCATTGTAGAGGTTACAGCCACAATGACGAGTTTAATACACCCGAATGGGAAGATGTCTTTGTATTATGATAACGTAAGTAGAACAATTTAATCAAAATTAAATTTCGTTACAAGTACTTCAAATCATTCTACTATCTCATGTTTATCACTACTGTCAAATGTATTCTGTTACTTTGAACACGATATAAAGAGATCAGCATCGTTTAATGCGCAAACAGACTAGTTGATACTAGTAATAAACTAAAGACTAACAACTTACGCACATTTTGAAAACAGTGAACAATCGGAAGGGCAGTCTTATCAGAAGAAAAAAATGTTGTATTCGTGAAAAATAGTAATGGACTGTGAATGTTTGAGTACGATACGGAAAGAGTCGTATTCTGTTGAGCTTAATTTCATGTAGTAAACATCGGCTGTTCAGAATGTTCACTGTGGAATATCCTGAGTTTAGCATCTTCTTCAACATGCACAATCACATTTCATTTAAACAGACGGTGATATTCATCTCACATGTTGTCGCCACATATCATGATAGTGTGATAGTTCATAAGACTTGACCGAAGTTGAAAAGAATATCTATACGGATTGGATAGAACATTCATGGAAAATAAACTGAGAATATCAGTATGCCTAGTGTGAGTGCGGTTAGTTGTCTTTGAATGAGATGATCTAAATAAATGATACATTTCTCCAGTATTTATTCGACTTAAAATAAATGATTACGTGGTAACAGATCTATGCTTACACATCCAACAATCTTCGTTTCAGATTCCTACGAAAATTGAGCAAAATAAGTTGCGATCGCTAATCTATGGAACAATAGGATGTGAAAATGGTAAGAAATATTTCAGTAAATCACGTAAACATTTTGATGTACGGTGACGTGCATCATCAATCACCTGTTAGTTTCATATTACTCTCTACTTGTACCCGGTCATGAGCATGTCAATGAAGAAGAACCATGTATCCTATCATAGTGATATAATTGAATTTTCTAACAGTGTACATTATACACTTAATTCTTAAGTAAAATCAGTTGATAGAAATGTCAATGAAGTGTTGTGGATGATTCCAGGTAGACTCATATAGATATGGATATATGAACAACAAATATCAAACACAAAATATATCCACTCCTTTATTCACAGAAAGACAGTCACATTTGCAGTTCCTGGGTTTGTATGAAGCAGCAATAAAATAGTGCTAATGAAACTCACATTATCTTTTATGAAATGATCAGTCGTCTTGCTTCGCTGAAATAAACATGTGTTGTTGAAAGATGAAGCTGAGTTTGAAGTGGAGCACTGAGTGTATGTGATTAGGTGCGACACAGGGTTTTATGAATATATGTGCTAAAGTTCATCAAATGTTTCGCCAAATGTTCTATATTGACAGGTTTGAGTGCATTGTTGAGTCAATTAAACATTGAAGATAATTTATAGAGTTGAGATCATGAGTCAATTGAAGCTAGACCACCATGGAAAATCTGGAAGCACTGGACGGCCGTTTCGTCCTATTATGGAACTCCTCAGCAGTGAGCATCCACGAACCCACTCTCAATTGACTCATGATCTCAACTCTATAAATTACTAGAATCTTCACAAAAAAACCCCTTCTGATTGAAGATAATTGTCATTTTGCATTGTTTGTTTCAGTCCTCACATTAGTGTTTGGTGCTGCAATTGATCAGTCTCTTATTGATATATCTGCATCCTGTTAGGATTATCTGGATGTTGCCTGAAGTTACAAGCATTGTGCGTAAAGATGGATGAGGAATAGCCGTGGAATCAAACATGTTTCTCAACATCAATCGGAAGATCCAATAACAATTCAAAAAACGAATTACAACTTCATACCGTTTCACAAAGCATTGAGTATATGGACTGATTGGCTAATTGGATAACCAACTGTAAATGAAAATGAATGATGCTGGTTATCAGTCCCTGATAAGTTTTAAATAAGATGAAACGCGCGTCTGAGATTGATATACAAATCATTATTGTTCTTTGACTTGTAGATTTGACTGTTGCCTTCGTGTAACTTGCATTGTGAATTAATATGTAACGAGTTGAACGCATCTTTCTCAGACGTCCAACTAGTTTCACCGTAAAATAACTTCGTAATGTACAGATTTCACTTATAATTTAACGACTAGTTTCAAAAAATTAGAACGATGTAAACCATAATTTTTTTAGGGCAGTCATAACTGTGTTCGTATTAAAAAATTCTTCAATCCCTTAATTTGACCTCTACTCAAATGAAGTAAACAACTTAATATGCTAGAAGTCAAATTTCTAAGTGTTTTTTTGTTTCCTTTTCATTTGTCATACAAGGTCACAGAGATCATGAGATACCTGTTCCAGCAAAATGGATTGAAAGTGGTACATTGGTGGAGTTTGAAGTCATCGGAAGTAAGTGAAATTTTATTTAATCAACACTTACTATTTGTCCACTTAAATCCATCACTTTTATTCGTTCACAGTTTTTGAAAATTCAATGTGTTGAATATTATGAAGGAAAAACGAACGGTCTCCAACTACATTGAAGTATTCACCTTGATGAAGTTTACTTGAACATGAAGTCACAAACTGAATGATGGAATGCTTTCAGTTTCGAAAAATATTAAGTGTCAGTACGTCATTGTGCATTGACCGTTACTCCTTTAACATATGTAATAAAGAACGTTCTTAAGGCAATGGTTTCATCGATATCCTTCATCATAGTAGGTTGACTGAAATGTTTTCAAGAAAATTGTCTTTGACGATTGGAAGACCGATGTCACTTTTCCTTTGTGGTTCAAGCGAATCAACATAATTCAAAGTAAATTTTGTGTCTATGAACAACCAAATTTTCATGCACTGATCTCGTTCATAAAAATAATTTCATGGAAAGAAAGTGCATAACCATCAAATTCCATTGCATTACACTTTGATAAGCTCAGTGACAACTTAGTGTGCACATGTCTGAATCCAAACAGTTATTGAAAGCTATCAATTTCCTGTTGTCGAAATTCATCACTTCTTCTTTAAACTCAAATTAGTTTCATCCAATTCAAACATGCAATCGTGAAATAGAAGTGAAATTGAAAGTGTACTAAATTTTGCATTATGAAACAGGTTGACCATTTTCCACCGAATGAAATTGTCACAAAACTCAGAAATCACCATCACATCATTCAGTGACAGTTACAGGTTTTGTATTTTTCTTTTCTTTTGTTTGATAATCTCATATGAAATCAACTTATTCATTTCGTAGAAATTTGTTCGCAATACAATACAAGTGAAAGATGTCAAAATGCAACGACATCGAACATGACATGTATATGGTGTGAAAAAGGGAACGCATGTATAGAAAGTAACGATCAGAACACTCATGACATGAAAGTGAAGGACTGCCGTGTTGAGGTTGGTACTTGTTAAACTTCATAGGTCGTTTGCAATAAGCTCAAATTTCACATTCCGCGCAAATGTTTTTTAATGCAAAAAATACTTTCATTGCTTTCAATAAGATATTTCATGTGTGCCATCATCAGTGACTGAATTGAAGATATGTATACGGGGACGACATGTAATCAGATGTGGGTACAATGCTTCACTTTTGTGGAATCAGTTATCAATGAATCAAAGCATCGCTCAATATTATCCTTTAAAGGCGTATTATTTCTTCAACTTAGTGAATGAGTAGTAATTTCAAAAATCGTTAACGAAACCGTAGATGTATGTCAATTGTCATAATATACAGATAAAACCAGTTAAAGTGAAGGAGCGTAAACCGTTGAAAATTGTGAATCACATCAGCAGAATTAGTGAAAGTATGTAGACTCCCGTTGTTGAAGCCTAAAACAATAACTTCCGATTTTCTGTTTAAAAATATGCAACCTCAATAGATTACTTCAATGAAGCCGTCAATTATATGTATATTGATTTATATCAGGATTGTGATTAGATGTGACATCCGAAACACAAATGTTAACATACAAATGAGTCGTCAACTAGGTGTAGGATAGAGTATACTTAGTACACTATTTGTCAAATCGCTAGTAAATATCCTAAATGATTGTACGAATGCACATTCTGTACTGTTTCATGAAATTCTATTTTGTCATCATTACTGACAATGGTGAAAGAATAATATTTGATGTTCGATAATGAATGCCTCTGGTTTATTTATTTAAAAGAGCTGGGATGTCAACGATCTGAGTACTTCCACACCCGTCAAAAACATTAAAACAACGTTGAGGAGCACTGAAGTTCAGGTGAGTGAAGTCCTCATAAAAGCTACTGAAGAAACTGATGAACACTCAGTAAATATTTGATGTTTATTAAAACCTGCTAATTCTTTGTTTTTCTTCAGAATACGTCTACCGGAACAACGGAAGAAAATAAACCACACAAGTCATATTGGTATCTATACGTTGTAATTCCTTTGGCCACCTCTCTGTTTCTTATGTGTATCGGTTACATAATTTGGAGATGGTTGCTAAGAAGAAAGAAAAGTGGTAAATGATCACCAAAAATGGCATATAAATTGCTTTCATAATTCTGTACACGTTATGTCAATATTGTTTTTCATTAGAATACTTTATAATTTCATATGTCATTTGGACAGTTTTAATTTATGTTACTATGTACATGCTTTTGATTGTTTACATAGTGGCTAGTGTAATCCTTTTTATAAAATATTAAACATTGTTTTCCATATTTACGTTACCGCTCCCATATCATCAAAAGCGTATAATGTCTCAAGATTTCTACAAACTCAACTCATAAATAAGTAGTATTGTATAGAACAGGGTCAATTGTTTTCCTTAAAAGCTTTGTATTTAAAATGACTTTAACCAGAAGTGCTTTATTCATCAGCATTACACAATAGCTTGACGGTTTGAATAAAGATTTTATGGCTACATGCGACAATTGTTTTCTTGAGATAAAATTTCAGCGTTGCACATGAAATTCCAGCTTTACGAGGCACACACACTCTGAAGTCGACACTGAACATTTTTTTAGTCACCTTCATTATACTGAAGTGATTTAACGTCATAACTTTTTGCTACTGGAGATTGTCTCGATCTTTCAGACGATTAATTAGGTTTTTATAAATAGCTGTAAATGAGTTTTGCAACTAAATTGGATTTACTTTTTTCCAGTGTAATCAATTTCATAGAATATCAAAGATGTAATGAAGTTCTTGTAGACAGAGTGTCACTTATAGTTAAATATTAGCTATGGATAGAAACTGCCAGTAATAAAAAGACTCCTCTGGAATGTATCTGATATTGCAAATATGTGCATATGTATACATATCTCGAGGGGACAAACAGAATTGGTTAGTTCACTCATTTTTCGGGCCATCTATGAATACACGTAATAGGTGACTTGTCTGAAGAACATTGTTTAACCAACTGAATGGAATTCATTTAACGGTCAGAAAACACGTCCACCATAACCCTTATGTAAGCAGATGGGACGAAAAGACCAGGTTGATCACCATATTGTTATGATTTCACGATTGAATCCATAATTATTTTCTAAGTCTTCTGCTACTTGTGATAACATTACTCTGCTCTTAAGCAAATATGTACAACAAGAAGACTCTCAGGTCGTACAACATTTTCTGTTTCATCACAACTAGCAGATATTTATCCCAGATACCTGTAAAATGCATGGAAACAACTCAATCCCTCACATTCCAGTTTGCCGTAACACAAAAATCACTGGTTCTTCTTCAGCCAAAAAGTGTTCAGAGCAGAGTTCGGAACATTTTGATATCTAATGCAAACTAACAAATTACATCGACACAAACGTTACTGTCTTTTTCAGATATGATTTCATCGTGTTCAAACTCAGTTCGTCATAATGCACACTCACTTTTATATTGAAATACAGCACACATTCCGCAGCCTCATTAGACAAATCAAGTTTTGTACTTTTCATTATATCATGTTGGTTATGTTGGTCTGCTAGTCACAGTGAATTCGTACTCTCCACAGGAATTATTAGATAACTTAACCTAGCTTTTTGTCAAGGTATTATTCCACTATTTTTAATAGCTTTCTCTGAAAATATCGTGATCGTAGACATACAGATATGATAGTATACTCAGATCGAGACATAACGTTTTAGAGCAGTAGTCTCGTTGTGTTATATATGTATTTCACTGAGTCAGTTTTTTGTTCCCGAAATCATTCTCACTCCCGTAAACATATAAATATATTACGTCTAATGAACATGTTATACCAGTTAAATACCATTATTATTCATGACAGATGAAGAAATGTTACTTTAAAATGAAGATAATCACAGTACCTTCAAATTAATTACAACGTCTATTCAAATTAATAATGTCATACAGTGTATAGCATTATAAAATCCAAACTACGTTTGGGTGAAGAATAACTGTCTGATCAAAATGAAGATACTCGTACACCACAATCGAAATAAGAACAAGGTGATTAGGCTGACAATGATTCTAAATTTCATCATAAATACAAATCTACAATTTTACCTAAACAAATATTGCCACTAAGTTATTCAACCAATAGCTGTTCCCACAATAATCGATGTAAATTACAATAAATAGCAAAGTTATAAGAAATATAAGAAAATTACTGAACGCTCCAAACAATAAGTGTTATTCTATACTTTCTGGATAGATCAATTGATTGTTTGTTGCTTTATAACACAAATTGTTTCAAATTCTGGGACATTGCTCCAATCTAAAACCAATATGCATGATCACAATCAAATCTAGCAACACATTCAAGTGGAGAACAATCAATATGGACAAAATATCAATTAGGACAACATAGATACAGTTTTATAAGAAACATAGAAAAACAGCGAGAACACTATTATGAAATGAAACATTACAATCTCGAAGGCATCAAAATAATTAAAAATAATGTACAAGTAAAGAAATCATTAAGAATAAGTTGCAAACGTATGCATGGATGGATGTTCACACACTGAAACTTCAAAATAGATCTTACAGGCATCACTTACAAAACTGCAAAATCAACTCCCTCGCTTCGGTCAATAAGTTGAGGAACTTGAAAATACAGATATCTGTTGATTTATGAATGAGTACTGTAGTTCGAACTCAAAACTCGTCTGTAGTAATCGCTTGAATAGCTAAATGAACCTAAATAAATTCAGTTCAAGAATTATATATATTTATGTATATGAGTAGTCACTCCAGATAATCTACTTTATTCATTCATCTGGAAATAAGTAGGACCACAACTCCATATAAAGTTTCTTCTGTGATTTTATTATTTAACTTAGCTTGAAATTTAGAATGTTCAATTGTTCTTCAGTTATATCGCATGAAATCAGTCTGAAATGTTCCATAAATCAACATTCACAAGGTATCTATATCATGATTAGATAATTCAATGTGATTACTGAATTCACAAACCTTTGAGAGCAAATGAGCTTGAAATCAGATTTTCCAGTCCTAAACTATGTATTTTGATATCTGGTAACACTGAATGCTACATAATGAGAAATTGGTCAATGATTAAAAAAAATCTAATATTATGCAGTAAGGAATGTTCAGATAATTGGATCGTGAAACATAGATTTGAAAAAAAGGTATTATAGAAAGAATAATTGGTAGGAACGGATGAAGAAAAGTGAACAAATGAAGAGTATGGACAATAAAAATTATTTGTTGAGGCCAAGTGAGTGATAGGAGTGTTACAAATTTTCTTATAAACGCAAAGGCTTGGATTATTGGCTGAAATTCATAAAGCAACTACCATGTGTAAGAGACGTGATCAAACCACATAAGGAAAACTAGTAAGACTGCAATAAATAACTTTATTTGATCTATTTCAGTCAACTATTTGGTCGCTATCGGTCAAGTGTGAAAGAACTGCACTCCACATCGCCGTGATAGTATTTAATCTTAACTACAAAAGAAGATGTACACTAACTCTTTGATTCAGTTTTTTGGTAGTCTACCCAATATACCTTTCTCCACAGGAGCAGCTGAATTTGTAGATAAGCATAGAAGTGACATAACCAGGTAACATATCCCTGAGTCCAAGAATCAACATAGATCGAGTCGAGTACGATGTACTGAGGTCGGCTGAATTAAACGTTCTCTTCACTGCGTGTAGCAAACAAGAAAATATCGATACCAAAAGCTAATAATCAACCTTCTCTTCCAGAAACTTCAATTCATGGGTGATGTAGCTGGTGATGTAGTACTTGATAGACTAACTTATGATATTGATATATGACTGAAGCGAGGCCTTTGACTAAAAGACGGACACTTTTTCTGCTAACCCTTCAATTTCTCTCACGAAAAGAAATATTCACTTCGCTCACATATTTCCATGTCCGTAGGTGACTGTCAGTCATATGAACACATTATTAGAAAGCGATATTGTTTATCTTTAGATTCATATTAGGCTGACTACACGAAAAAGAGAGTACAATATCATTTATTGATCAGAAAGAATGTGCTAATAAACAAGAAGAATGTATATTCATTAATATTTCTACAAAACAACAGCTAAGGTCAATCGCAAGATGTTTTTGAAATCACACTCTCAGCTAATGTTCAGTGTAATTATCATTATTGTTACTTTGAGAAAAATGTTACTTATGCAAAAATCGATATCATATTAGAAAAGCTTAAATAGATGCAATGATTATACGTTCTATTCAAGCACTCATTCTTTACTAAATAGTCGATATAACAGACCTCAGCGTAAAGAGTTCTGATACGACTAAAAGAGCACATAATGTGCTCAGGTGAAACAATTACTGTTCATCGATGACAATGCCTTTCTTTCGCATAATGTTATCTTCTGAATCATTTAAATCATATATATCACTTCCATCGCGCGTTATGGTCTTTGGTTAATTAGAGATGTGAAAGATGTGTGATCAGTTGACAACAACAGAGAAGGCGAAATACAAACAAATAATGGTACGAACAATCAACGATAAGCATTTTGGAATAGAAACAACGCATCAATATCTCTCTCAACAGCACCACTTCGGAGAAAAACAAATTAGGACGTTTCAGTGGAAGTTCTTTCTGATTATAAATCACCTATCACTACGATTGTACAGCTTCAGATATTTGATAATGTCAAGAAGAAATTCTCCACTGAAAAGTCGACATTCAATTTATTCGACGAAATGATTTCGTCCGTTTTTCTTCACAATCATCATTAAATTTCATGTTCTCTATCCAGTGACTTCTTTTATTCAATCATCTAAATGTCCATACAGAAGTGCCTATTACTTTGAACGGTAAAAAAGGACAAAGCGGAAAAATTAAATCGATCCCATTCAAAATGGGTCTTATTATGTCATTCTCAAATCATATGTGACAAAGTAATTTAATGTGAGTCTTCACCACGTTTGTTCGTTTTGTGTTTGTGCTAGTGCTTCCGTGAAATGTGTCATTTGTAATATGAAGGAGGGAAATGGGAGGTTGATTGTGCATGTTTGTATGTGTTGATTATATGATAAATAGAGGAGTACATG